CATCTTTCCGGAAGCAAGTAATGCAGAAATATTTAGTAAATACCTCTCGACCTGAGGAACGTGTTCGAATGGTAAAACCTAGAGCGGAACTTCAGAACCTTCCTTCTGGTTCGACTGAAATATTCGTAGCCGGTATTTTAGACCGTTATGTTCAAAGATCCGATCAGATAGAAACTCTTTGTTTGGCTGATTTTGCATCTAGGTATAAATATTTTAAATCTAGTAGAAGAGCACAAGATAGTGATCATGAATAAGAAGAGAGGGAAGACGATAATTTACCAGAAAGCGGGGTGGTCATGCCTCTTAAAGACGGTAGCGGTTTTGTTAAGAAACGTACCAAACCTTGTATTATTCGGTATAGAAGGTTTGACCCAGATTTGGCCAGAGTTGAGTATTTCCGCGATATGTTAATGCTTTACTATCCTTGGCGGAATGAACAGCAAGATCTCATTGAAAACGATAATAAGCAGATTTGCATAACACATCGTATTATAATTGAGGAAAATCAAAGAAAATATGATGTTTTTGAGCAAAGAGAACTTGAAAATGTTCTAGAAAGTCTTTATAATGAAATAGACCTGGACGAAGGTGCTCAAAATGAACTACCTATCGTGGAAAATAAGTTCAGAGTGTTGGCACTTCTAGAAATTAACCCAAATATAAATTTGCTGAACTTGCATGGCGAAGATTCAACAGATAATGGCACTGAATCTGATTGCAATATTAGACTTATAAAACTACCCCCTTTAATTCCAGTTGAGGAATTATTTTCTTTAGTTCAAAGTCTAAATACTAAGCAAAGAACCTATTTGACACATTTGATGCACCACTTAAAAACAAATCTCCCATTTTATGAGTTCATTGGCGGCGGTGCAGGCGTAGGAAAGAGTCGTTTGATATCTGCAATATATCAAGCTCTTAACCATCGTTACAATTCTACACCTGGATCCAATCCAAGGTCCTTAAAAGTTCTTCTTTGCGCACCTACGGGTAAAGCAGCATTCCAAATAGGTGGAATGACCCTTCATTCAATATTCTCTTTACCTGTTAATCAGTTGAATAGAGAGTTGAGATCACTTAGCAATGACACAGTTAATTCATTGTATTCCAGACTTATCGATTTAAAATTAATCATAATTGATGAAATATCGATGGTAGGTGCTCGTATGTTTAGCTCTGTTAATGCGAGATTAAAACAAATTTTCAAAACAGACAGCCCCTTCGGTGGTATACCGATCATAGTGTTTGGTGATTTGAAGCAACTCTCACCTGTTGGAGATAGGTGGATATTCTCTCCTAATCCCAACGATGCATACAGCACTTTAGTTGATTCCCCTTTGTGGGAGTTATTCAAATACTTTGAATTAACAGAAATAATGAGACAACGATCAGGCCTGTGCAATTGCATTAAACCATATGGCATCTGGTACTATGACAAATGAGGATATATCACTCATTGAAACTCGGGTAGTTAATTTCGAAGAAGTTCCCGATGATGCCATACATATATTTTGGTCCAATGAAGAGACAAATAATTTCAATGCCCTGAAGCTCAGTCGAATCCCAACTGAAGCTATCCTTTCAACTGCAAAATACTCAGTTAAAGGAATTGGTATAAGTGAAAATGAGAATATTTTGGAAGGAGTTAAACTTTTCAAAACTTCTGAGACGCAAGGACTGCCCTATGAATTGACATTAAAAACCTCTGCCAAATATATGATTACAGTGAACATAAACACGTGTGATGGCTTGGTTAATGGGGCAGCTGGACGACTTATGCAAATTGATTTCCATTGCTCTTTTCCAACAATTCTGTGGATTAAAATTTTGATAGCACGATCAAAAAAGCCTCATCCTCTAGAAAAGTTTTGGACACCAATTGAAGAAGTTCTAAAATCTTTTCAATATAAAACATATGAACAAATTTCAATTGAAAGAAATCAGTTTCCAGTTGTTCCGGCTGAGGGAAAACTCATTCATAAAAGTCAGGGTGCCACATATAATAAAGTTGTATGTAAAAGAGTATGACTCGACCTAGAATGCCTAGAGCTTCAATATATGTCACTTGCAGTCGAGCTACTACTGGAGAAGGTCTATTCATCATAGGAAACTTTATTCCTCCTATCAAAATTTCTGAATCGGATCCTGTATTTAGGGAACTGAGGGAAATGAACACAAATAAAGCTCTGACAACAAGTTTCAGTTTTATGAATTCCCGAATATCAGGACATCAAATTTTATTTCATAATGTTCAGAGTCTTCATGTTCACATTAATGATATAAAAAGCGACTGTTTGATGTTATCTTCAGATATTTTATGTTTTGTAGAAACTTGGAGTTATCCATGCGAAAATTTTGATATACCAGGATTTACTCCAATTAACGAGCTGAGGATAGATAGCACGGAAACAAAGCATAGTATTGCTTGCTCTATAGAACCAACGGTTGTAAAGAAAATGTATTCAGGCCGCAAAGTTTTAGAAGGCATTTAAATGTTTCAATATTAATATTCTGGTTCTATACAGAAATTCAGCTTTATCTGTCAGACATTTAATTGTAGAACTTCAGTTATGCAATCAAAATGTGCTAATTGTTGGAGATTTCAACATTTGTTTAATGTCTACAGGGAATTCAATAGGAAATCTGCTCCAAGAATAAAACTTTAGTTCCCTGCTTGGTGTAGAATATTCAACTACACCTGCCGGTACAGAAATTGATTGGGCATTTTCAAACATGGATCCCTCCCATGTTTATGCAATTACTTTTGAGACAGTACACAACTATAATGACAGTATTTGTGTCTCTATTTCTAACTCAAGTTTTCAGACTTATTGCAATAGTTCTTCATTTTTTTTTTTCAAATATACAAGGTACGTTCCAAAGTAAACAGGACTTAAAAAAAAAAGTACAGAACAAATGGTTTTATCGGCAAAGTCAATTAATTTTATTCAAAATAGTCTCCTTCTGCTTTAATATAGCTTTTTGCACGGTGCAAAAGCATGTCGAACGAGTGTTTTAGCTCGCTGCCCGGTATGGCCGCCAGTATGCCGGTGCAAGCCTTTTGAATGGCCTCCACGTCTACATACCGCAATGGACAAATATTCGGCCACAAGCGTCGATCGATGAGACGGTGCATTATTGTGCAACAAACGCCAACTTCCATCTTCGCGATATTCGGGCCGAACACGTCAAATACGGCGCCCCAAACGCTTCAAAACTCCAAGGTAGAATACCGCATTAACGTTTTGGCCGGGTGGAACAAATTCTTTGTGGACAATACCCTTGGAATTATAAAAACAAATCAGCATTGTCTTCACTTTTGACTTCTCCAGGCGCGATTTTTTAGGTTTCGGCTCGTCGTCATTTATGTCCTCACGACCACTTTGAAAACGTTGAAACTACTCGTGCACTCTGCTACGGGATAGGCAATCATCGCCATAAACTGCTTTCATCAATTGAAACGTTTCGGTAAAAGTTTTACCAATTTTAAAACAAAATTTAATGTTAGCTCTTTGTTCGAAGCCCATTTTCGTACCGATGACAAAAACATACTGACTCTTAAAACTCAATAACTTCACTTCCAATAGATGAAATGTCATAAAATTTTTACTGGAAGTCGATAAAGGATAGCAGATTCTAGCGCACTAGTCGACATATAGATGGCGCCACTAGAGTTTACTTTGTTACTTTTTTACTGTTTACTTTGGAACGCACCTTGTATATTAAGAAATGGTATAGCAATTTTGACAGCAGTTTTTAAGACAATGTTAAGAAAAATATGTAAACAATCTAATTAAGAAAATTAAAATTATATGTATTATTTGTTATTATATAAGACATTATTGTATAAATATTTGATAGATATTAAATAGTATAAGGAGAAAAGAAATATAATTTGGATATACGTATAAGAATCTATATAAAAATTTATGTTTAATATTGTAAATATTATATACAAATTAATATAATAATATAATTTTTAAAGGTGTTAATATTTATTATTTTTAAGCTAAACATCTATAATAACATCGATAAAATAAATAAGAAATGTATTTCATTATCAAGAAACGATTTATTCTCTTACTCCTCAATACATTTGTAATTCATTCTATATAAAATAAATACTAAGCGTATACAACAAAACACAAGAACGATTGCTCTAATTATTAAAATATATAAAGAAATCTCAAACGAGTATACCATTTGACTATGCGAGAGTATAAAATGTTCGGTTGCATCCGAGCTTAGCCCTTCCTTACTTTTTATACTCTCGCAACCTGTTGCTACAGAGTATAATAGTTTTGTTCACCTAACGGTTGATTGTATCACTTAAAACTAATCGAGTTAGATATAGGGTTATGTATATATAAATGATCAGGATGAAGAGACGAGTTGAAATCCGGGTGACTGTCTGTCCGTCCGTCCATCTGTCCGTCTGTGCAAGCAGTAACTTGAGTAAAAATTGAGATATCTTTATTTGGTGTTGCAGATGGGCATAATCGGACCACTGCCACGCCCACAAAACACCATTAATCAAAAACAAATAAATTTCCGTAACTAAGCTCCACAACAAGATACAAGACTCGTAATTGGTATACAGGATTACATTAGGGAGGGGCATCTGCAGTTTTTTTTTTGTAAAGTGGGCGTGGTCCCGCCCCCAAACAGGTTTAATGTGCATATCTCCCATACCACTGAAGCCATAATAAAAATTCATTGAGAACAAACGTTTTTAGCATTTCTATCGTCGGTGTGAAAATAGGTGAAATCGGGTGACAACCCCGCCCACTTCCCATATAACAGTGTTGTTAAAAACTGCGAAAAGCGCAGTCGGATTACAACCAAGCCGATTATATCGGTGTAAAACTTTGCGTGAATAATACGTTTAAAGTATACCACTTTGTGACCTAAAATTGTCTTAATCGAATCAAAACTGTTCAAGCCCCTAGGTACTGAATATGTGGACCCCAGCATGTAGCTGACATTTTACCGAAAATATTGGTCAACATAGAACAAGGCGGCAAGATCCACAAAGAAATATAAAACGAGTATACCATTTGACTTTGCGAGAGTATAAAATGTTCGGTTTCATCCGAACTTAGCGCTTCCTTACTTGTTGCTAGTTGGCTTCGTGCATGTTGTACTCAGTGATTGAGTGTGGTGGTGTTATCATGTGTAGCGTTCTTGATGTTGAGTGCAGTGTGGTGTGTTTCATTAGGGTGTGCTAGTTTTACCCGAGTAGAGTGGTGTGTATATGTAGGGGTTGCTTATCTCATTTAAACACTTCTCTTGGCCCCCATATACCTGATATAAAGATTTTCGAACTTCCGGTTGACTTTATACCACATGTATCGGCCAATGTGCGAGTAATTTTAATGAAATTGAGAAAGCGTGTTTTTCTAATAACAGTGTATCTTTGTGCCTAAATTGAAAAAAATCGGTTGATATTCACGATTTTGAAACGTCCGGCTGATTTTACTCCATATATATCCATACAAGCCATAGGTAACCAATTCACTACAACACTTGTAAAATTTAACCTCTTACACCACTACATATTCAACACTAACTCTTTGTTTTTAAGTCGAAAATTATGTTGCAAGAGTAGCAACATTCATCATACATATTTATTTTTTTATATGCCTAAGAAAGAGATGCACATAATTGTAAGGAAAACACTTCCACTTGTTGCTACAGAGTATAATAGTTTTGTTCACCTAACGGTTGTTTGTATCACCTAAAACTAATCGAGTTAGGGGATAGGGTTATGTATATATAAATGATCAGGATGAAGAGACGAGTTGAAATCCGGGTGACTGTAGGGATGGTAAGATGCTTAAGTGTCGTTTCGGAGATTTTTAATATGTTACGATCAGTAATTTTTTTTTATTCGCGCAAGAACAACGTTTACAAATTATTTAATTTTATTATCAAAATAATCACAAATTATTTATTAACAACTATTACATATACCTAAATTGTTGCTCCGTTACTGTCAATGGAGAGCAGTATAGATTGACGATAAATAACTTTTTATGGCCGCAATTGGAGGAAATTGATCTTGACAACATCTGGTTCCAACAAGCGGGCGCTATGGTTGCGCAGAGGTTGGCTGAACCAGCTACACAGGTACGCATGGCTGCGCAATACTTAGCTGAACTGCTTATTCATTTACATTGTGTATTTGTTAAATGTTTTTTAAAGGGCACTCAACACTTTCCAACACTGGTGTGAGAGAAGGCTAGGAATATGCTGTGTCGTTTGGATCTCCATGCCTTGCGGAAGGGAACGGCCAACACTGCTATTTGTACGCAGAGGACTGTCATCTCGGAGGATAAAGAATTCGTAAATGTCTACTATGAGATGCCCGATTTCAATCCAACAGACATTTCGCCGTGGTTGCTGCGTTTTGAATTGAAAAACATCCAAGTGTTGGGAGCAGAGGTTAAGCGTTAATCGATTGAGAAGGAAATTAATGCTGTGCTGCAGTTTTACGGCTTGTATTTGAAACTATCGTCATTTGGCTTTGTTATGTGAGGTTGACAGCTTAATAAATACAAGTAAGTAAATTATATTGTATAATTCTTCTAGATGTTATATTTAATTGAGGCCATATATCATCATTATAATAATATATTATTATTTTTATTTAAATTCCTATGCTGTAAATGGCTTAAAATGTGTGCATTTTACAGAAAAACGTGATACACATATGTAACAGGCGTTTAAATCACATTTAGTCGAAATTTTGGCAAAAAACCCGCGTAAAACTAACGGAGTAGTACAAGTATCACATGGGGCATTATCGTGATAAAGGGACCAAACCATATTTTTTAAGCATATAGATTTATAATTGTAGTATAAGTAATTGTTTATAAGATTATATTGTTAGATGTACTTTACTTGTTTACGTATAAATTTTAAGTGTTAATATCTATATTAAAACTTTTTGCAGTGTTAATATTTAGTTTGGGTAAATACGTTCCTATTATTAAATATATCGAAATAATGGAAAAAATATAGGATTTTATTTAAAAGAATTGAAATTGGTTATGGTAACAAAAAGGTAACCAATATGCTAACATATGGATTTGTTAGAAGTAATAAATGGGTAACAAATAAAAGAACATATCGATGAAATTCGAGGTAACAGACATGCTTTTATAGCTGTTAGCGTGTTTAATATGTTTATATGTTAAAGGTAACAAACTGCTAACCAAAACAATAACACTAACAGAAATTTGGGTAACAAATACTTTTGTCGGGATGTGTAAAGGTACTATATGTACACAGTGGACTCCATGCAATAAATCCTCTCATAATAATGATTGGTGTAGTAAAAGTAAATAAAATATTGGAAGTTCCCTATAAGCAAAACATCTTAAATTCTCCTATAATAATGATTGGTATAATAAAAGTATTTAAGTACTTATTGGGAGGTTCTTTATAAGCAAAAATGTGAAGACGCGGTACATAACAATTAGCGTGAATTTAAATCCCAATTTTAGGAATTTGCTTATGATTCAAAGATTTATTAGTGAAAACTGCAATTCCTTGTTTGGCGTACAATTGAGCCATGATATTTATTAGGAGTATAAACTCTTATTAGAGAAATGGGTATCTTAGAGTGGTATACATATGTAATTTCGGGACAAAGTTCATTAATAAGGAGAGAGAAATGAGGTCATTGCGTGGGTTTGAATCATCGACTCATGCTATTGTTGTTCTATTTGTTATATTTGCTGTGGAGTAATTTTTTCCATTGATTTCGTTTGTTTATGTTTCGTTATTTTTATAATAATAACTTAATAACTTTTATTTTAATCAATGCATAACTTAATTTTTTTTATTTATTGTGGAGCAAATTTTATTTTATTTTATATAATTAATTATTTTTATGGACCGCAAATGATCTCCATGCTCAGCTATGCTTATGCAGCACCTAATAAAAAAATTATATTAATTATTCATTTCGGCCTGAAGTGTTGAATTCGGGTTTTAATGGACTGCTTCAATTCAGTTAGATTTCTTGGTTTTCTTTTGTACACCTCTTGCTTGACATAACCCCATAAAAAAAGTCTGGTACAGTCTGATCAGGTGACCTTGTGGGCCAGCGGAAAGTGGAGTTTCTTGATATAAATTTGTTTTCAAATTTTCGTTGGAGCTCCGAAATAACTGGTCTGGCTATGTGTGCAGTTGCTCCATCTTGCTGGAACCAAATGCTATTGTAAGGGTAATGGGAAAAAAACTTATTCAACATCTATAAATAACGGTGCCCATTGACAGTTACTGTTACACCGTTTTCTTCTAAGAAGTATGGCGCGACAATACACCTTGATGAAACTGCGCACCACACAGTGACTCGTTCTGGATAAAGTTCCGTCTCGTGGATTATTTTTGGATTTGATTCACTCAATATACGCCAATTTTGCTTGTTTACATTTGCCTTTAGATCAAAATAGGCCTCATTAGACATAAACAGGCAATTTATCAAGTTCTTGCGTTCTTCGCCCATTTCAATCATTTTTTGACAAAATTCCAGGCGAATAGGCAAATCTAGAGGGTTTAACCGTCTTGTTATTTGAATTTTGTACGGAAGCAGGTTTAAGTCATCATAAATTATCCATTGTAATAACCGTTTGCTAATTCCAAGTTGCGCCGATAAGTTGTGAGTCAAAACTCTTGGATTTGCCTGAATTGACGATGCAACAACTACAATTTTGATTTGATTGAACACGAACATACGGATCTCGATGGAAGGGTCTTCTTGCGATACCTCCAGATTCAGCGAACATGTTTACCAACCTCATAATGGTCCATCTACTCGGGGGAGTGCCTTCAAAATCCCGTCTGAAATTCCTTTAGACGGAAATGGCGATGATTTCAGTCCAATCTGCTCATTGGGTTTGGTCCTTTGGGGGGATTCGTGGTGGCTGTGGTTTAAACCTAAATGCTTGAAGAACTGAAAAATTCAGTCCAATGTGGAGTTGCATATGCAACCGGGTGCGGTTAGGCCGTCGCCGGCAGGTACTCACGTAAGTGACAACGAAAGTTAAAGTACGCAAATGAATGAAATTAAATGATAATCCCGCCCACTCCTCATATAACATTTTTGTTAAAATGAAAGTGAGTGAGTACATGACCTTCAATATAAGTTTATGAGGTACTAAATTTGATTGTTATCCATATACGATTTTGTCGAGTAATGAATGTTGAATTTTTTCCTAACATTTTTGAATATAATGTTTTGCCAATACCTATAAGTATTTCGCCGATATAAAATGTTCGGTTATACCCGAACTCAGCTCTTTATAGCTTGTTATTGTTATTATTGGTTAAATTTGTAAAAATTTGAGACATATTTCTTCAGAAGAGGACTGGTAACCTAAACAATTAATGCAAAAGAAACTAGTGCAAGGTTTGGGTCGGTGAGGGAGAGAACTAGGTACTGGCGTTTGTAGAGATTTTTAATAAATTCAATCACAGTTTCCGCTAATAATGCCCAACAAAAGCTTCACGTACTCTTTTAATCCTCAGTTTTCCGTGGTGTATGTCTTTGCTAAAATTTTTTAAACAATCAGGGAATACTTCCAATATTCCACTAACGGGTGACGAGATTGTTGAAACACAAAAATGATGAGATGTCAGGGGAGGCGGCAGTTCCTACAGCAGCAACGTCGACGTTAACAGCGTTCTAAATGTGCACCTGTATGAATCTGGTATTTAAGGTAGCTGCCACAAGAGCAATAGCTCAGTTAACGCGTGGCGTTTGAGCTTGCGGGATCGGAAGGATATTAACGGAAAAGTGGTCCCAGTATTTGAAGTTGAAATCACAATAAAGGATAGTGAATTTTAATAGCAGAAAAATTGCTATGTGAAAAGTGAGACTAAACTAATAAAGTGTGTTCATGAAGAGAGCGTACATATGTATATGTAAATGTAAGAAAATACCAATATGAGCGTCTGTGTTACCTGGTGTATTGAAGAGTTACCGACACCCACTGTACTAATTAAATAAGTTGAAATTGTTTTGTTAACATTGTGATACTTAACACATTACATATAAATTGTGAGGGAAAGTTTTAATTTCGTTGGTGCTCGTGTAATGTAAAATACATATCCTCGTACAACAAAAATGTGCATACACGAATAGAGAAAAAATACTAAACGAATAATTTGAATTAAATACAAAATTAAAATTAGCATTTAATAGTTGTCATTAACAACATACATACTTATGTACGTATTAATGTATTATTATATATAGTTATTTGAATATAAACTATGTGTAGCGAATTATACAAGTAATTAGTCTTTTGCATAAACTAATTATTTTCGGGGGAGTAGAGTTAATTCGTGTAAAACATTTTTATGATTTGGTTTTATGAAATAAGTAAAACATATTTTTAAAACCAATGGTACATTAACGGATCAAATTTGAAGAGTTCTGTTCTGTTAAATTTTCATAGAGAAATATTCAAAAATCCAGTAATGGCTGCAATTACTCTGAAGCGTCTCGGAAAGAAATTAAATTGCGGTGGCGCAGTATAAAATGGAAAGCAATTGTCGATCCAAAAACTATATTCAGGGGTGTTGTGAAGTCCAAGACAGATTTACGTAGTTGTAAGAATTGCAAACCAATTTGATTTTCAATGGTGTTACAGAATCTGATTGAATTTTCGTCTTTTCGAACATATGCAAAACCAATATTCGAATCAGCTGTTTACTATTGTGACAAAACTTGCAAATTAATAAATTTGGAAGCGTTTGATAAATTTGGAATACCGAATAAAGTTTACTAAAGTTTACAATGAGTTCCGCTATTTTAGCTTATGTTTTATTGGAAGAAAAAAGCAACGAAAAAATTAAAAGGAAGATATTAAAAGGTCACACTAATCCACTTGATGCACCAGGGGAGTCGCATGTGAAATTTGGCTTGCATTTACTTGTACGAGTATGTTTGTATACTTGCTTACTTTACAGACTTAAATCACATTATCGACTGAATAAAGACGCATTTGCGTGTTAAATTATGTTTTGTAAATCCTCTTAAAATATCTGGATTTTTTCCATAAACTCAATAACTATGGCATTTTGTGTTTTATTCTTATGTTTTCCCCTATAGAAATAACGATAAATTAAATGATAACAATAATATAAATTATTTTCTTAACTTACATTTTAAATCTCTTCTTGCTTTGTTTCTGATAACAAAACCGATAAAATTGGTTTCCGTGACACCCAAAACCGATACAATTTCTGTTTGGAACGTCAAACCAATAATATCTGAATTCATGACACCTACTACATTTTTTATCGGTTTCAATTCCGATTTAGAAAACTATCAGATTCTACAGCTCCCCTGATTAATTCCACCTGTTAAAGTATATTAAATTGGGTCTTATTAAACAATTTATAACGGCTCTTAATCATCAGTCCGAAGGTTTCAAATATCTGAAGAAAGCGAAAAAAAGTTAAAATATTCGTAGAAAAGCTTCAAATAACAGAAATTATAGATTATGATATTTTCCCAAAATTACTTAGCAAAGTGGAGAAAAAAAGCTTGGAATAGTTTTAACTCAGTAGTGTATTGTTAAATGTCTCTAAAGATGCACATGTTACATTATCATTTTGATAAATTTAAAGGTGGTATGGGAGCTTATTCGTGAGAACAAGGATAACGCTTCCATCAAGATGTAATAGAATTTGAGAGACGTTACCAACTTTCAGTAAAAGCATGATGGGGGACTATATTTGGGGGTATAAATATACTGAACGTGACAAGAAATGTGAAACTGTTCTTTTAATTAATTATTTATATGTAATTTTTTTTGTTTATTTTATTTAGGTGAATTTTTCCATTTTTTATACGCAATAGCAAATATAGAACTATTTTTTATTATTATCTTTAATTTGACGTATAGAAGCAACAAAAATAAGTTATGTATAAACCATGCGCAAAAATGTTGTCGATCGGTGTAATCGCTCGGACCAGGTAACGGGTTTTTCGAAGTTTCAACTTTTCACTTTTTGGGTACACTTTGAAGAAAAAAACGCTATATATTGGAAAATATTAACAAATTTGAAAATAACACTCCGGCGTTACCGGCATTCATTTAAAACAAAAAAAAATTGAAAAAGCCCTACTTCCTCATAATGTAAGCTTTGTTAAATTAAAGCTAAGTGGCAAGGAATATTGGCATTTTTATTATTGGTTAAATTTCAAGGAAAGTGTCTACCATGTTGAACCATCACACATTCGAATAAAGTTCAATTCTTCAGCGAAGTAGTATCTGTCGATAGACTTGACAATAAGCAATTATTATGTCTGTATTCTGTAAGCTTTGTTTTCAAATCAAAGAAGTTTAACTAAAACTCTACACCTTTTGAGCAATATCGCCTAACACAACATTCAATGTACAATACAATATTTTTTAAAGTATTGTTTCAATGTTTTTCTCAAAACATAGTTAAATACTATCGAAAGATTTCAACCTTGCATTAAAGATTTTTTATTAACGGTCCCAAAACATTTTTTGAAAATCCTCAAAAATCATATGATAAATACTTTTTTGAACTGCAATCGACGGAAATGTGCAATAATTGCAGCAACACATACTACAAGTAAGTTATGTTAATCGATTTGCAATAAAGTAATTCAATTTCGTATTAGTATTTATTTGCTACAGTGAACCAAAGAAGTTGTACCAAAATTATTAGAATAATGTAAACTAACCAAACAGGTATGTCAAGTTCTTGTAAAAATATGGCGTTAAGGAGCACACCTAGTGTGTTATTAAACAATATAAATCTTTTTCATATTTCGATAGGTTATACCTTTAAAAATAATATACTTAAAGTTAAAACGAAATCTCAAATAGTTTTTGTGTTACAGCTGCTCAGTTTAATCAGTTTATCTTTAAACTACTTTTTCTCAAAACAGCATTTCTTGACTTTGCTGCAGTGATTATTCAGAGAGAAATGATCCGATCACTACCAAATCATTTCTGCATGTTCAGTAAATAGTTTTTCATGGAATAACCTACCACTCAGATCAGAGTGGCCAAAATCGACAAAAATGTTGGCTAAAATTTAACTAAATTAAAAAAAAAACTATGGAAAATTCTTATTAAAATATAGCGTTAACAATTGAATCTAAATGGGATCAAAATAATGAAATATCACGTTTTAATATCACTAAATTTATGACAAACTACAAATATACCTGTAACGTTTTACAAAGTCTGCTTATCTTAAATTAGCTAAGATATACAATTACCAATTCACAAGTAGTACAGGCTTCGTAAAATTCCACGTTTATAGAATTTCTGCAAAAAAAGAAAATATGTTATTTTAAATGGGGTACGGCTATTTTTGGATGGAAAAGGATGCTCTTCAAAAAAGGTCTTAAACGATATTTTGTAAACCTATCCCTTTAAAAGATATTAACGGAAAAATACTTAGCCCATTTTCACAGTGTGTGACCTCCTGTCCCTTGTTACCACGATCCCCTGTTTAAAATAACAGTTCAGTATCTTAATTTAGAGCTTAGTTATGGCACTTTATAGGTTTTTTCTTAATGGAGTTAGGTGACTAGAGAGCCTTTCTTTCCAGAGTACCAAGCGAAAAAAAATCGTTTTTTGCACCCTTATATACTTCTCATATACCAATATGTTGTTTTGTTTAAATTTAACGCGAGTAAAATTTGTCAAGTTCAACCTTTTCGAAATAATTTGACTCTATCTTACAATAGCACACATTACAATTTTGGTTTTATATACAGAATCTACTTGCATCCCGCTTGGGTAGCTTTGGCCTTTTCGTCTAGGTAGAATTTATTTCTATACTCTTTCTACAGAGTATAATAGTTTAGTTCATATATTATATAAATGATAAAGATGACGAGACGAGTTGAAATATAGGTACGGACTGTCTGTCCGTCCGTCTGTCCGTGCAAGCTCGAACTTAAGTAAAAATTAAGATATCGTAATAAAGCTTTGAATACTAAAATATACTAGTTCCTTGGCATAAAGGAAAGGACGAATTGTAATTTGGTACAGGAGATCGCAGTTTTGAAAAAATGGGCGTGGCCCCGCCCTCTAATAGGTTTAATGTACATATCTCCTAAACCACTGAAGCTACAACAACTCAATTCCTACTAAAAGCGTGATAAATCATGCTTCAGAGACATAAAATTTTACATCCAAAAAGGTACGACAGGGCTTTATAGGAGCCGATGTCAAATTTGGGCGATACACCCACCGTACTGCCCACATTTAGATTAAAATCCATATCTTGGGACATACTCTACTGATTTCAACCAAATTCAGACAAAAAACACACTTACTTCCAATATAAGACAATTTTATGATTCGTTCATTTTCCAGTATACAAATCAAGAACCAATCAAAATAAATTAATATGATTAATTTGAATGTTATCCAGTCCAATGAAGTTGAACCCATTCGCTACATTTTTTAATATTGTCAACACTTGAAGGTATTTAGCCGTCTTTGATTCTTGCAAGTTGCAAGAGTATGAAATGTTCGGCTACACCCGCTTAGCTTTTCCTTCCTTGTTCGTATTTTGTTTTGCTCTTCTTTTGTTGTCCATAAAGCTTCGACAGTGCATTCATTGTCTTCGTTTACTACTTCTCGTCGATTACTGTCCAATATATGGTAGCTAGTGACCAGCTTAACAGTATTATTGTAATGTTGAATATAAATTTTGTAGTGTCGCTTGTGTTCTTGTTGTTCTTTTGCACTGTTATCTTTTACTTAAATGGCGCTACGGAAAAATATTGTATTTTGCCCCCAAGAGTCTTGTTCCTTGCGAATTCAGCAAAACGGGGTTTCTAAATTCTGCCAACGAAAAGTGGCGCAGAGTACCAATCCATGCATACATAACTACCGTAAGGTGTGCGAGTGCAATGTTTGAATGAAATTTCTCATGAAATGCCTTTGCAAAGATATGCAATCTTTTAATTGCTTTCAGCTTATTTTGTATTGCAATTTGGTATTGTTTTAGTACAGATAAATAGTGAAAACGCGTAATGGGATAAAATATACTAGGAGTCATGGTACATGAACAAGTTATCGGGTCTTTGTTTGCATTCAGAATCACAGAATTACCATTGGACTTTGGTTTGCGATATGTATCCTTTTTCCTTCTCAAAACACATCAAATGTACATGGGATTATTTCGGAGTCGTATTCTTGTGCATACGAGAATCTTTCTAT